AAGGCCTACGCGCATTGGTTCCTGGCGCGGCCAGACCTGATCGAGGTGCTCTCGGAACTCGACGGCATCGCCCTTCGGACGTCGGTGCGACTCACATTCCGATTGCAACGCGGACGCCATCGTCGCAGCATGGCGAGCAGAAAAGGTGCGCGCGCCCTGGAGGTCCCCGCGCCAATTCGGAGGCGCGGGGCCGCCGCGCAGCTTCGAGTGCATCGAGGGCCCGAGAGGATTCCACGATGGCGCGGGCTTCCTTTCGCTTGGCCGCTAGGGCACGGATCTTCGGAAGTTCCTGGGCTGGCTTGACTTGGTGACTGAGCTCTTCGAAGAGATTGCGCTGGCCGTGGGCGGCGGGGCTGCAGCGGAATGCGCCCTGCGCGAGCTGGCGGCGCAGGCGCGCGCGGTCGGGGCTGACCCGAGCGAGCCACCCGACCTCGTGAAGATGGAGGTCTACGAGGCAGCCCGAAGGGTCCTCGAAGGTTGGCTCGGCGCAAAAGGGAAGGCTGGACACGGCGACGACTGGGGCTGCGTCTCAGCGGGCAGCCATCCGCCCCAGCCTTCTGGCATAACTCTCACGCGAAAGAGGGGGCCCATAAGCAGACTTGATGAGGCAGCTGGAGACAGGCAACAGGCATCCTGCGCGAGATGCTCCGGCAGGAAGCGCTTCTCGAGGAGCTCGCGAAGTGGAACCTCGACCAGCAGGCAGCCCGCTGGGCCGCCCCAGAATCAGCCAACGTCAGCAGCTTGGAAGACCATGGGGGCTGTCTCTGGGAACCCCTCGTGGACGTGGTGAAGTACGCTTCGTGGACGTGGTGAAGTCGGGCAAGATGAATGGTCAGGATGCCGAAGGAACAGCTGCGCATCCGCTTCCACGGCAACTGGGCCATTTTAGCGCTGCCAGCCTTGGGAAGCGCCCGCGACGGCGCGCGCGAGGTCGCCGCGAACAATCGGATCCGATGCAGGGGCCGCGCGGGGATGCCGAGACCCTTGGAGAAGGGTGCTACGGGGACCGGCGCGAAGTCATCGTCTCGCTCGTCATCGACGTCAGGGGCGCGCATCGGCTCATCAATCTCCGCGGGGACGAGCGGGGCATGCTGGCCTGCGAGTTCGAGGGCGAGATCTACTGCAACACCGTCGGCATCTTCGGCCTTTCCAGCGCCTCGGAGTGGTGGGCTAGGCTGTTCGGCGCCGTGCTGCGGGCGATCTTCTGCCTGCTGGGCGGCGACTGGACCGTTTGACCACCTATGCCGACGACCTGGGGGCGATCGGCTCAGGGCGCTGAGGGAGATTAGCCGCCCTCTTCATTTCGTGGTACTCGGCGTCTTCGGCTTCCCAGTGGAGAGGGCCAGGACAATTGGCGGCCTCGAGGTGGATTGGACTGGCTTCCACTGCGGCGGCACCACTTGCACCGTGGGCTTCTCGGAGGCGAGGGCGGCGTGGGTGGCAGCCTGGTGCCTGGGGACAGTCGAACGCAGCGCCATCCACGCGGGCGAGATGGCGTCGGGCTCGGGGTGCCCGCGCGTCGCGGCGATGGCCCTCGTCTGGGAGAGGCCGCCCCCGGGGCCCGCGGGAGCCTGGCCCGCCGGCGTCGAGGGGGCAGGCAAGAAGAGGGCCTCCCTGCCCGGGGCGGACAGGTACGCGCTGACGTGGATCGGCTAGCGACTGGCAAAAGGGCAGTGGCTGGAAGTGACCATCAAGTTCTGAACCGAGAGCGCCGGGCATGTCTGCTCGGGCGCGAAGGCAGAGGCGGGGCGCCGCTGGATAGGCGGCTGGGGAGCACCGCTGGGCGGCAGCGCCCGAGGAGCCCGCTGGCGCGCGCCGGCGGAGGGGAAGGCCTGGGCCCCATGGGCATGGGCCAAGTCAGACGATCCGAACGGGCCATCGCGGCGCTATAGCTCCTCGGCGCGATCCTCTGTGCGAAGCTTTTCTCGAGGCCCGGGGGGCTCCGCCAGTGGGCGGCCCTCGAGATGGCGGGGTCGACGGACGACGTGGGGGGCGACTGCGTGGCGCCCGGGGCCGCGTCGACCAAGTGGCCGTTGGCGGTCCTCCTCGTCGAGTCGTCGGGCGAGCTGAGGTCGCGCAAGATGGCGCTGAGCCTGATGTTGCCCCCGCGCGAGGATAATCAGGGAGTGGCGACCTCGGCGACGTGGAGACGACGGACTTTGACGAGCCTCTCAGGATCCAAGTGGCGGCCGTAGACCTGAAACTGAAGTGGCACGCGCTCGATGAGATGACGCAGGCCTTTCAGAAACTCTGCGACGCGATCTTCGAGGAGAGGGTGGCCGCCCCCGCTCGAGTGCGTCTCGGACGCTGTCGCGCAGGCGGAGGCCGCGCAGTGGCGCGCATGCTTCACCATTGGTGGGGCCCCGCGCGACCTCTCGAGACGGGGGCCCAACAGCGGGGGCCTATGGCGTGCTTCAGGGGTCGTCTTGAACCCCCGCCCTCTGGCGGGCGCCGCCACGGCGGGGGCCCCCTCCCTGCCCATGGATCCCAATTCTCGGAGTCCGAGGCAGGAGGGCCGTATGGGCGATGGGTAGGGCTTCGAGACCGCGCCCTCGCTACCCTCGTGCCCGTGCGCGGTGCGGCATCATGGGCGGAGGTGGTGGTGCCTTAGAAGCTGGGAGAACCGGGGCGAGGTGATGGGGGCCTCTGACACTCGTGGCGTCCAGTGGGGGCCCCAGGATCCGCCTCTTCAGCTCGGGGTCTCGTGTCCGCCCCTTTTGGCATCTCGCTCCGATCGCGTGGGTGGGGCATCAAGTTCCTGGGAGTGGCAGGGGCCCTGCGCACAGGGCCCTGGCACCGCCAGCTCAAAAGAGGCATCGCAGTCATCTCCTGCTTTTCGACACCGCACTGCTTTTTGGGGCTCTTCGAGGGTGCGCCCCCGTGTTCCAACACGTGTGTGCACCCTCCTCTGCTGCCCGCAGCCTGTTGCCGCTTGGGCTCCGGCGCGCGGCCGGGCTTGAACAGCCCACCCAACGCCCTGGGGCATCAAGTCCCTGGGAGTTGCAGGGGCCCTGGCCCCAGGAACTGTCACCCGTGAGGAGAAACATCGCTGCCATGTTTTGCCCTTCTTCTACCGCCGTCGCACCGCTATTCAGGCTCTTGGAGGAGATCGATCGGTGATTCAAAATGGTGCCCCCGCTGCAGAGTGTGCTTCGCTGTCGCATCGGAGCTTTGCTCCCGTCGTTCATGGCGTTCTCGCCCCATCGCGGGCCACGTTTCTGGATCCGACTCCCGTCTCATCGTTGTCGCTTTTTCGTTTCCCTTCTTACGCCCTCGTTTCCTCTTCTCCGCCCTCTCCTGGTCTTCCTGCTCCCCGCGCTCCTTCCACTCCAGTTCGTGCTGTTGCTGCTGTTCGTCCCCGTCCTCCTCCTCCTCCTCCTCCTCCTCCTCCTCCTCCTCCTCCTCCTCCTCCTCCTCTGTATGCAGCTCCCTTTTTTCCCGAAGCCGTTCAAAACAATGGAGTCATTTCTGGAATTCCAAGTCGGCTGCGACACGCGTCCGCGGGTAGAGAAAACAAGTGCAATGAGCACGGACGGGACGGAGGGATATAATGTCAGATGTGGCGCGAGCGCACGATGTGAGTAGTACTCTCCTGTCCCTTCCGATCCTGCGCTTGCTTGCCCATCGCACGCGCACGTCATTTCATCATATGGTGTTTGCAGTTGGATCGGTCTCGGTCCCTCAAGCATGGCTATTCCGCTGCAGCGTTGGCCACACTTCAGGACTGGCGCCGTGCCCCCGTCTTTGAGAGAGTGGCGCTGCTGCCCCAGCGCGGGCCGGGATCCAACTCGTTCCTCGGTCGTTGCCGCCCACCTCCTGTCCCTCCTTCCGCCTTCCCCTGGTCCTCCTGCTCCTGCTCCTGCTCCTGCTCTTGCTCCTGAGGAGGAGGAGGAGGAGGAGGAGGAGGAGGAGGAGGAGGAGGAGGAGGAGGACGAGGAGGAGGAGGAGGAGGAGGAGGAGGGGAGGAGGAGGCATGAGGAGGAGAACGAGGAGGAGGAGGAGAGAGGAGAGAGGAGGAGGAGGAGGAGGAGGAGGAGGAGGCGGGGGAGGGGAGGCGGAGGGGAGGCGGAGGCGGAGGCGGAGCGGAGGCGGAGGCGGAGGCGGGGGCGGGGGCGGAGGCGGAGGCGGAGGCGGAGGCGGAGGCGGAGGAGGAGGAGGAAGGAGGAGGCGGAGAGGAGGCGGAGGAGGAGGAGGAGGAGGAGGAGAGAAGGAGGAGAAGGAGGAGGAAGGAGGAGGGAGGAGGAGGAGGAGGAGGGAGGAGAGAGGGAGGCGGAGGAGGAGAGGAGGAGGAGAGGAGGCGGGAGGAGAGGAGGAGGAGGGAGGAGAGGGAGGAGAGGGAGGAGAGGAGGAGTAGGAGGGAGGGAGGAGAGGGAGGAGGAGGAGGAGGAGAGGGAGGAGAGGGAGAGAGAGGGAGGAGAGGGAGGAGAGGGAGGAGAGGGAGGAGGAGGAGGGAGGAGGAGGGAGGAGGAGGGAGGAGAGGAGGGAGGAGGAGGGAGGAGAGGAGGAGGGAGGAGCAGGGAGGAGGAAGGAGAGGAGGGAGGAGGAGGAGGAGGAGGAGGAGGAGGGAGGAGGAGGAGGAGAGGAGGAGGAGGAGGAGGAGGAGGAGGCTCATCATTCTCCTCGTCGCCCTGCTTGGGCTCAGGCCGTTCTGGCGGGCGGCCGCTCCTCTTCGCCCGGGTTGGGCCCAGCCGCGGCGCGCCTCGCCGCAGGCACCGGCGGCCATGCCCGGGCAGGGCGCGATGATGCCCACGGCCCGGTCGCTGTGGATAACCGTCGGGCTCATGTCGAAGAACAGAACACGGCGCGAGCACGACTCGTCGGAGGGCCGCTCGGCTTTTTCTGGATCGGCGTCGGGCCCCCCCCTGGCGGCGCCTCTGGCGCCGCGCCCGGCGCGCCGCAGCGCGCGCCAGGGAGGGAGGTCCAGCGCCGATCGAAGAACTCCGCGCGGACCTCCGAGGAGTGATGTTTGTGTGTTTTTGGGGTTCCTCTGTCGTGATCAGCATCCTGTGGGGGTCGGTGCTGCTGGCGGTGCTCGTCGTCCTGCTGCCGAGCTCTGCCGCCGCGAGGGTTGCGCCGCTGAAGGCTGTGCACCGGCGCCTGAGAAAAGCCGCCCGCCACTGCCTGCGCATGTCCACCGAGGGGCCGTTCTACCGCCTCATCGTCTGGTGCGGCCGGAAGCTCTGCCTCGGGCGCTTATCCTCGCGCTGCCTGGCGCCCTGTGCGCTGAAGCCCGTCGCGTCCGGGCGCAGCGAGGCGCTGCTGACGTTCACGCCGCAGCTGCCGGCGTGGAACCTGTTCCACGAGGAGGACTACGTCCTCGCCTGGCGCAGGCCGCTGGAGGGCCCTGGCGGGCGTGCGCCGGAGTGGCAGGAGAAGGTCTGCGTCCGCCGCGACGACTGCGAGGAGCTGAGCGGCGGCAAGCTGAGGGTCTTCCTGGCCAGCCTGCCCGAGTTCGCGTGGGTGACCATCCGCATCTGCGCGGTGAACGCGCACGGCAGGGGCCCCTGGAGCCAGGAGGTCCGGGTGGAGACACTGGCCAGGCCGACGGACGCGGGCGGCTTCACAGGCCCCCTCGGCCCTGGGGCGGCTGGCGGAGCCCGCGCCCGCTACAGCTGGGAGCAGAGCCAGAAGGAGGTCAGTCTCAGGGTGCCCATCGGAGACGCCAAGGCAAAGGACCTCAGGTTCAAGGCCTACCCAACGAGGCTGGAGATCCTCCTGGTCGGCGCGAACGGCTCCGCCGAAGAGCTGCTCGTGGGGCCCCTCGCCAAGAGGATACGGAGCGACGACACCACCTGGTGCATCGCGGAGAGCGAGGCGGAGGGCCGGCACATCGACGCCCAGCTGGTGAAGGCGGAGGCCCTGACGAAGTGGCCCTGCCTCATCGATGCCGACGGGCACCCCCGCGTGGACACCAGGGACATCAGCTTCTTCGTCGGCAAGGACCGGGTGCTGCTATAGAGTTGCCCCTGCCCCAGGGGTGCCCCCAGGAGTTCCAGGAGAGGCCCCCAAGGGGCCTCCAGAGCGCCCCTCTCTCGAGGCCCAGGGGGGCCCCGGGGGCTCCAAGATGGAGCAGAAGGCTGGTGGCACCTCCGGCCAGGGGCACCTTTCCAGCCACCCCCGAAAGGACGGGCTGGGGGGCATGACAGACCTCTCCAGCCTCGACCTCTACGAGTGACCGCCCGCCCCGCCGGCTCTCTGCGCGCCCGGACGCGCGCGGGGTGCCCTCTTGTGGCGTCAGCGGCGCGACGCCGCCGCTGCCCTGGTTCGGCGCCGCCCGTCTTCTGTCTCGCCGGCAGGCTGCTTTCCTGCTTCCTCCTCCTCCTTCCTCCTCCTCCCTGCTTCTCCTCCGTCCTCCTGCTCGGGGGGGCCTTCTCTGGGCGGAAGGCTCGGAACGTCAGGACCTGGGCGGCCGCCTTTGGCGGCGTTTGCCGCGTCTTGCGGACCAGAGCGGGAGGGCCGACTTGCCTGTCAGCGGCGCCGTCCCGCGCCAGCCACCGCGTAAGGCCGCTGTGTCTTCTCGTGCAAGACCCATGTGTGTTCGTCGCTCAGACCCGTTTCCTCCACCTCCTCCTCCTCCTCCTTCTCCTCCTCCTCCTCCTCCTTCTCCTCCTCCTCCTCCTCCTTCTCCTCCTCCTCATCCTCCTATGTGTGCAGCTCCCCTTTGCCCGAATCGAGTCATTTCTGGCCAGTGGCGCGCGCGCGGGGTACGCGGGCCGCCGAGACCCACACACAGAGAGGCCGCGATGATCCGCTCCTTCCTCCTCCTCCTCCTCCACCTCCTCCTCCGCCTCCTCCTCCTCCTCCTCCTCCTCCTCCGTCTCCTCCACCCTTCCTGATTGCGTGTCTCACGATGCGATGATTTGGGGAACTCTCGGGCCGAACGAAAGGGGGGGATAGGGAAAGGGGGGGTACGACATCTGCTGCATGCAGCTGGTTTCGGCCCCGCTGCCGGGCCCATCCCTCGACACAGCGGCGCCTCCCGACGTCGGGAGGCGCCGGGAAAATCGGCTATACGTGAGCCGATTCTCTACCCTACCCCTTGCCATCCCCCCCTTGCGTTCTCCCTCAGAACTCATGTCCCGCAGGACACCTCAGTCGGAGGAGGAGGAGGAGGAGGAGGAGGAGGAGGAGGAGGAGGAGGAGGAGGAGGAGGAGGAGGAGGAGGAGAACGGAGGAGGAGGAGGGGAGGAGGAGGAGGAGGGAGGAGGAGGAGGAGGAGGAGGAGGAGGAGGAGGAGGAGGACAACGAGGAGAACGAGGAGGAGGAGGAGGAGGAGAACGAGGAGGAGGAGGAGGGGGGGGAGGAGGAGGAGGAGGGAGGAGGAGGAGGAGGAGGAGGAGGAGACGAGGAGAACGAGGAGAACGAGGAGAGGACGAGGAGGAGGAGGAGGAGGAGGAGGAGGAGGAGGAGGAGGAGGAGGAGGAGAAGAACGAGGAGAAGGAGAGGAGGAGGAGGAGGGAGGAGGAGGAGGAGGAGGAGAACGAGGAGGAGGAGGAGAGGAGGAGGAGGAGCCATGCCCTGGGCAGCTCGGGCCTCCGGCGGCCGTGCGGGAGAGAAGAGGCGGGAGGCCGGGCGTCGGCGCCGTTGCGTGCGAGGCGGGCGGGAAGGCTCAGGCCGGCGGCCCGTCGCGCGGGCGCGCCCAGCCTGCTCTCCTCATCCTCCTCCTCTTCCTCCTCCTCTCCCCTTCCCCTCCTCGTCTACCTTTCCTCCCCTTCTCCTCCTCCTCCCCCTTCCTCCCCCCGCCCCCCCCCCTCCTACCCGACCGTCCCGTCCGGCCCCTCCTCGGCTTCATCCTTCATCCCCCTCCCACCTCTTCCTCCCTCCCCTGTCCTCCTCTCTCTTCCCTTCTCCTCCTCCCTCCTCCCTCCTCGTGCTGCCCCCTCCTCCGTTCCTCCCCTCTTCTCCCTCCCTCCCTCTGTCCCGCTCGACCACTGCACAACATGAGCCCTGTTCTCTCCCTTGCTCCTCCGAAGATCCCGAGGTTCCAGCCCGTCCCCCTTCCGCGTGTTGTCTTTCACACACATCGGATCCCCAGCAGGTGATGGATCACACGTGCTTTCCACTCCGAACGTCTGCGGCGTTTCCCGCACGGCGCTCCCGCGGCAGCGCTGGCTCCACTTTTCCGGCTCTCGGTCCTTCCAGACCCTACACCTTAGGCGATGCTGAAGAAAACTTGAGTTTTCGGCCAGAGTCTCCATTATTCTTAACGCTTCAATGTAAGTCCTAAGATTTTCATAGAATTTCTGGGTTTTGAGTCAAATTCTGAGACTGTGACTGAGACTGTGAAATTCTAGGTTTTTAGTCAAATTTCTTAAGCATTTCGCAGGGTGTACTCCCGCTGCAGCGCTGACCTTTTTCTTTGCCGTGGATCTTCCAAGTCGTGTTCCCGCTACAGTGTTGGCTCTCAGTTTACGCTCCCGCTCGTGCCGAAGCGTTCATCTGCGTGTTTCGTCTTGCGTCATGCCTGGCTTACTTCCGCACGTGTTGCGCTCTGCCGTGCTCTCCTACGCCAGGCTACGCCGTGCACTGCCATGCATCTCGTGCCCTCTCGGGATCACTGCCCTGCTCGACACCCGACTGTGCGAATAGAGAGAGATCTACCCCATTGGAAGTGATGGGAGGGAGGGGTAGGACGTCAGATAAGACGTTTGCGCACCTAGCTTATCATCCTCATCCTCGCTCTTCCCCCTTCTCCGCCCTTCTCCAGCGTTGTTTTTTCTATTTACATAACTCTTCTCTGTCGCACCCCCGGACGCGTTAGGGCTGGTTTGGCGTTTGGCCCGAGACCTTCCCACCACGTATGATCCTGATGCTTGGAACTGGCAGACGGCTTCAAGGATGGAGGACGGGTCGTTTTCAACATGTGGATTTTGCTTACGCGTTGCGAGCATTTGTATTAACAGCTTGCAGCGGCTTCAAGGATGGAGGGCGGTTCCTGTGCAGCATGTGGCTTTCGCCGCGGCGCCGTGCTCGTTCGTCTTGAACCCTTGCAGCAGTTACAAGGGTTCGGTATGCTTGAAGTCCCATGAACGGCGTCCTGGTGCAGTTTACGTTTATCGGGATGCAGCGGTCACGTTAATTAGCGGTGCTGGAGTCCCAGGAGTGACGTTCTGGCGCGATTGAGGCTCCTCGGACGGTTGTCTTCCGATACAGCAATTCCCGCCATGAAGAGGGAACTTGCAGGAAGGGTTTATTGCTACATTGTTGATGCGTCTTGGAACTACACTGGTCCTCCTCCTCCTGCCCAGATCCCAAGAGAACGCCCCACGAGTACCCGCCAGGATCCTTGCCTCCCACTTGAAGCCTTCAGAGCCTTGTATTTGCATACTCCGTCTCCTTCTTCTCCCTCTTCCTCCTCTCTCTTCTTCCTCCTCGCCCCTCCTCCTTCTCCTATTCCTCGTCCTCCTCCTCCTCCTCCTCCTCCTCCTTCTCCTCCTCTTTTCTCCTCCTCATCCTCTTCCTCTTTCTCTTCTGCCCCTTGAGGCCCAGGGGATTCGCTCGCCTCAGGCTACCCGCACTCTTCTTCGTTCTCTTCTCCGGTGCAGGCTCTGAGCTGTGCCGCCAGTGCCAGCGGCTAGTCGGGTAGCTCGTTTGACTGCTGCCCCCACCACCATCGTCCTCCGTCGTCACTGCGCGCGTTGGTTTGCCGTCCCCATCCTCGCCGTCGCCGTTCGTCGTCGTCGTCGTCGTCGTCGTCGTCGTCTTCGTCGTCGCCGTTTCGGTGGCTGTCGCTTTTCTCTCTGCCTGAACCTCGCCCTTTCGGGACGCGTGCGATGCCAACCGATAATCCTAGAATCTTCCTCCTCCTCATCTCCCTCCTCCCCCTCCCGCCAGGAGTGGGAGTCACAGGTCCTCGTCGGCAGCGGCGCCAGCCTTGCCAGGCACCGCGCGCTGGCTGGGCCAATCGTCCCCTTCCTCCACCTTCTCCTCCCTCCCTCCCTCCCTCCCTCTCTCCCTCCCTCCCTCGCTCCTCCCTCCCTGCCTCATTCCGTCCCTCCCACCTTCCGTCCATCCCTCCCTCCCTCCTCCCTGCTCCCTCTTCCGTCCACTCCTCTTTCTCCTCCTCCTCCTCCCTCCTCCTCCTCCTCCTCCTCCCTCGCTCCCTCCATGCCTCCCTCCCTCCTCCTCCTCCTCCTCCTCCTCCTCCTCCTCCTCCTCCTCCTCCTCCTCCTACTCCTTCTCCTTCTCCTCCACGTCCTCCGGGCTTTTTAGAGGCAACTCCTGGCGCCACCTGAAGAGGGGAGGGCGTTCGAGGGGCGGATGGGGGGACTGAGGACGCCCCTCACCACGGGGGCGGCGGAGTGGGCGGAGTGGAAGAGGGTCGCGGAGGCAGGGGCCCCGCTGACCCGCCTCTTCTTTCTTTTGTTTTGCTTTCTCTCTCTCTCTCTGCCTCTGTGCCGCCCTGCGTTGAGCTTGACCGTGCATGGGCATCGGCGCAGGGGCCAGAGCGGATGCGGGGCAGGTCGTGACCGTTTCGAGGCCCCGTTCGGCTTCCCCGCTGTCCAGTGCAAGAGAGAGCACGCGGTCGCACGGCCTGGGCCGGCCGCGGCCATCCTCTGAGCGAGGCCGCGTCCTTCGCCCTGGCGGCCAGCGCCCGCCTGCGGCGCCGCCGCCTGCCTGCGGCGTGCTGGAGAGGGCCGCGGCGAGCTCGGTCACTCGCGGGGAGGGAGGGCTGGTCGTGCTCGCGCCTGTGCGGATCGGCTGGGGTCTTACCCCCCCCCCCGCGCGCCGTTCTCGACGCAGCTCGGCCTTTTCCACCCTCCAGAGCAGCACGCTGGGTCCCCCGCTTCCGCCGCGAAGGGTGGCCGCAGGATTCCCTGGGCTTCTCTTGGCTGGCTCTCCCGCGCGCCAGTCTCGACGCAGCTCGGCCTTTTCCACCCTCTGGGGGAGCAGGTTGGGTCTCCCGCTTCCGCCGCGAAGGGTGGGCCGCAGGCTCCCCTGGGCTGCCCTTGGCCGGCTCTCCCATCGCGCCGCTGCCGGGCTCGCGGCGAGGAGTTCGGCATGCAGCGCTGTGCCTTGTCCTCCTCCTCCTCCTCCACCCTCCTCCTCCATCCTCCTCCTCCTCCTCCTCCTAATCCTCCTCCTCCTCCTGCTCCTCCTCCTCCTCCTCCTCCTCCTCCTCCTCCCCCTCCCCCTCCTCCTCGGTCGGTCGGTCGGTCGATGAAGGCCTCTGAGTCACGCAGCCTATCACAGTGGATTAAGTAGAGAAAGAGCAGCAAGCAGAGGCAGTACAGGGGATTAAAAAAACTGGCCGCACCACGCCCTACGCTGGCAGGTCGTGTCCCTCCTCACCCCCTTCCCCCAGAGGTTCCAAACCGTAAGGGTCCAGCTTGAGCACCAGCTCGGCGAGCTCGGGTGCTAGGTCATGGCTGGGTGAGGAGTGGAGGAGGGTGGCGAATTGAGAGGCCACGCAAGCATGAGGCGTGAGAGTGGACGAGTGAGGGAGAGGAGCATGTTCACCAGACATGAGAATGCTACATCCATCACAATCCAATCTCCGTCCCTCAAGCGTGCTCACCTCTTTGAGTCCCCATATGGTGGGATGCGAGGCTTCGTTGGCCCACGGGACATGCATGATACCAAAGGGTACTCGTGCGCCTCGACAAACGTGCGTCAACCAAAGCACCGCCCTCAAAGCACGATTATCCTCACGCACGGGAGTGAACTCGACCTCACGGAGGGCCCTCTTTCCCCCAGGAGAGCTGGAATCGCGCGGCAGGCGAGTGCGGGCCTCCGTAGCCTGCCAGGTGCCTCTGGGAGGCTCAGCCCAAAGCCCCCCAACAAAACCGTCCTGGATGAGCTGGGCCCCAAAGGCGGAGCACGTGTGGCAGCGCAAGCTGTCCCCACCCTTCTTGTCCCCCTAAGGTGAGGATGCTGGCCCTTTTTCCTCTAGCCGCCAACTCACGTTCAAGTGAATCAATGAAATCAGCAGCATAACGATCTCCCGTGTACAGGCACAAGACAAGTGCCCTTTGCTCCAGCCCTTCAGTGCTTGGTCCTGCATCAGTGGTGGTGCGTTTCTGACGAGGCCTCTGGATGGGGACGCTCACCGAGGGTGGGAGGTGGGGAGGGTCCTGAGGCCTAACAGGAGCATCTCTGCAGAACGAGGGCCCAAAGAGCTGCACGGGGGGGAACTCCGCCCAATTATCTCCTTTCCCCTTGCTGCGGTTCTTCTTCTGCACATCCCGCGCCGCATCCCTCCAAGCTTGCATCTCCGCTTCCCCAGCCTTATACCCGGCCTGATCCCAAGCCAGCCTGCACTTGTGGGACCTCCTTAGGTGGACCTGAAGGCGGTTGGGAGTGTGCCATTGTTTCCTGCAGCACTGGCACTCCGTGCCCGCTGCCCAGCACAGCGGATCCCTCATATGTTTTGTGTTGCCTCGTCATGTGCATGTTGTAAGTCTTAAGCTGCTCTGTTGCGAAACCGCATTCATAGCACACAAACATGGTGACGGTGGCTTCTGGCTCTTCATGGGCGGTGGGCCGCTCGTTTTGGATGAGCTGGATGTGCCTGTCAAGCTGCAGCGCACGATATTCCTCTACAAAATTGTGCTGCGCTCTGGCGGCCGCCTTGGCCACCCGTCGGAGGAAACTGCGCGGCTCCATCCTGGCCTCCGTCAGCCAGCAAAGTAACGACGCCTGGTGCCTCAGCTCTCCTTTGAGGCAGAGGGGAGTCATCCATCGGAGATCATCGGCCACCTGCATCAGCCAACCGCTGTTTTCCTGATAGAGAAACTCAATGGCCACTCTGAGCGCTGGCGGTGCCTGACGCAGCAGCCGGGGTAAGTACCTGAGGCGCGCCACCCGAAGCACATCCTTGGTCTCCAGCCTGTGCACTTGTGACAAAATGTCGTTGTGCGCTATATGTCCAGCGCCAGAATTGCTAAGCGACACTCCAAGAGCGGCCCTATAGGGCCTTATCTGGGCATGGAGGAGTTTTTTGGCGAGCCGTGTGCTGAGCGGACTCCAGATGGACGCATTGTGGAAAAGCCCCGTGAGAGCGAAGCTCTCCGCGTATCTGACTTTGAGGTCTAATCGGAGCTTCTTCCGAGGCCCAAGGGTACGCTGGATGGGCCGCACCTCACTGGCTACCGAGGCTATCCTGTAGGCTATCTCATCCGACATGTCGAGACGATCATCGACCATGGTGCCCAGGGCCTTGACAGTTCGCCTGACTTGAATAGAGGCATCGAGGGATGGGATATGCACTTCTCGGCCCTGGAGTCCCCAAAACTCTTGTTGGACTGTCTTGGTGCCTGGCCCCACTGGAATTATGAGAGCAGCGGTCTTGCTCAGGTTGAGTCGCAATCCACTTTTAAACGTCACTTCTGCCAGATGTTCGGTGGCCTTCACGAGCGCAGCTCGTGTGTCAGCCGCCTGGTCGATGGCACAGAGCGCAGTGAGATCATCGACGAAAGAGGTGGTATCGTGCGCTTGATCTAAATCCGTTTCCTGATCAAACCTGACGGCCCCTGGGTCCAGCTCGGGCTTCCACGTGAGCCCATCAGCAGTAAGCCTGGACTGGAGGTCCCGGATCATAGGAGAAAAAACGTAGTTGAACGCATCGGTCGCCGGGACCGTCCCGGGTTTGGTGCCCAGCATGGGTTTCTTGAACCCCTTGGCGTTTTTGCACGCCCAAAAGCCCGAGGATAGGGCCGCCGAAAAAAGTGCATTGAGATGCTCGCTAGTAGAGTACTGCTCTAAGATTGGCGTCTGGGCAAGATGCTGCACAGCGTAAAGGAGGGCATGATGGACAGGCAGCGTGCTGAGCGCAAGATCGAAGTCCTCCCTTTCGGCTGGCATGTTGCATAGGCTTTGCCTGACCACCGTGTAAAAAGCTGCCTTCAAGTCGGCAAAAAGCGCTTTGCTGCTCTTACCTGCTTTCATGTGCATGTGCAATTTAGCCATTATGAAGTGAGTTGCAAAGTCCGTCCCCATGCCTGTTCGCCCTCCGCACTGGGATGCTTCCAGTGAGATGGCCATGACCGCCTGGACCTGGGCGCGGACGTGTTTGTGGTACACTTTACTGATGGTCGAGGTGAGGAGGATGCTTCTTCTGCTGGACGCGTAAGGCCCGTCTGCGCCCTTGGGGGTACCAACAACAACCCCCTGTTTGAAACCCAATGGCTCAGTGCCGATCATGTTGGCCTTGAATAGCACTGGGTGACAAACACGTGCAAGCGCTTGTGGCGCAACCCGCTGAAGATCACCCGTGAGATTGTCAGGCGTGGCTTTGCCTGCGGGGACCTTGGCCAGCGCCCTTTGAAGAGCTCCCTTGGTGATGAGTCTCGCTACCTCTCTGGGTGTGGTGGTCGGCGGAGCTGGCGTAGCCGAGTTATATGCGGCAGCAATGTCGCTTGGGTGAGCGTCCAAGCTGAACTCGATCTCGCCAAAATGGCGCTGGAGATCGTCAGCCTGCGCTTCAAGCGTGGTGAGGATGGTACCATCGGGTGCCTTTCGGAGCGGAAAAAAGGCCTGCTTCTTGGATCTCTTACCTCCTAGCATGAGCAGGCGCTTAACTTTCGTCCGCTCCGAGCGTGGGAGTTTGGCGTCGATGCTTAGATTAATCCCATCGCTCTGCTGTTCAAGCAAAGCACAGAAATCATGGTCTATGAGCTCGCGCAGGAGCGGTTGCGTGCTGTGCACGAACCCCGCTATAGCCAGAGCAAAGTCTTCGGGTTGGGTCAGCTTGTCAACGAAAGCCTGGGCCTCCGTAAGGACCACATTCCAACACTCACGCACAGCTGCCATCGTCTGCGGCAGCGTTGCGCCTGCGCCAGTGCAAGTACTGTTGGGGTCAGCCATGGCACCCCAAACCGGGTAGGGGTGAGCGGGAAAGGCATCAGCCATATCGCCCTTAAGCGCTCCATCCGCGGCCGTT